TGTTAAGGTATTATTAAGAAATTATAGAAATAGATAACTTCTCTATAGTAGTTCAAATGTAGGTCCGATTGAAACGATAGCTTTACCATAAAATTAGATAAAATTTCAATAAAGTTTTAATCTGTTTTTATCATTTTCTATCGGTTTTTTTAAGCAGGAAGTCTACTCGGTTTCTGTTGCTAATTTGCTGGCATAGAATGTCAACAGATTTTGTCAGATTTCTAGCAACTGCTTGCCGACATCGTTAGATATTACAGAAACTGTGACAAATCTGTTGCCTTTTTGGTATCAAAAATTTATAGCACACTCTGCCCATGATCTGTCTTTTCAGGTTTGGCTGTTGGGGACTAAACACAGTTATGTTATTGTTACATTACTGTTAAACAATTCAACGTAACAAGTAATGTTATGCTGATGTTACAAGTAACTTAAATGTAAGTTTCAATTTTTGCCTCAACAACGTAACAACGTAATGTTACATTTCACATAACAGTTATGTTACTCAATTACGTAAATATTGAAAAAAAAATTATTTTTTTTATTTTATTAAATATTATTTTTAGAGTTTAATCTGTATTTACTATTTCGTATATTTTCTATTTAATTATTAATTACAATTTATACGCAGGTTTATAATTTTTGGAGACATCGAGATTCGAACCTGAGATCCCTAGAATAGTAGACTTGTACGCTAACGCTGAGCTAATGATACATTGTAGAAAGAATTTATTCTTTCTATTATATATTCTATACCTTTTATGTCTAAACAAGTACTGTAAAAACTGATTGAAATAATAATGTACATAAACAATAAATAATCCGCATTTTTTTAAAATACAGGGTGTTTAAATATTGAAAAAAATATGTATAGATATATTTACGTAAGCACGTTTTTTATATATACACTATTATTTGTTTTAATATATTGCCATTAAAAATTTCAACATTCTTTGAACATTAAAAAAATTGTAAGAAAGATGTCTTCAAATCAAAAAAATTAAAATAATAACAATTTATTTTAAAATTTATTATTTTTTGTCACTTTAAGATATAATTATGTAAAGCAGCGTTAAATATACAAATATTTTAATAAAGGTAATCCATTTTATAATTGAAAATAATTTCATTTACTTATTTTTAAATCTATTTGTTCAGTATTTCCGGGTTTGCTTTCGGAAGGTGAACTGCGGGCGTGCTCGCCCTCCACGCGTGCTCCCTGGATAAGGATTCTTCAGGTGCGGCGTGGCCAAGACAATAAACGCCTTTGAACTTTAACAATCCTTTATTGAAATTGAACACCACTTGCGGTAGCAACCGAACACTTAACAAGAAAATAAGATGAATATGTCGTTAATAGAAACAGACGTGTGCCCCTGTCTAGGCATGGCGAGATTCTGCCGGGCGGCGTGAGCGCCGCGACCGCAACGACCCGAAGGGCGCCGGAGGCGACCGATGGTTGCGTCGAGTGGGC